TTAAATGATTTTAAACCTTTTTGAAACCGGCCAAAGGTTGGGTTTTTTTTTTTAACAAGATGGGGGGTGACAAATTTGATATATAAATAAATAAATAAAAAAAGGCTCTTCCCCCCCCCCCAAAAATCCAGTAGATTTCTTAATCCTGGAAGTTATCTGACAAGCAAATTAGATCACTTTAAGAACGAACCATGATTTTGCTTTTTTTTCCTTCTCTTCATCCTTGTTTTTATTGTGTCAAATAATAGATATTCCTTGCCTATATATTTAAGTCACTCTGGAGCTTTAACCTTATTTAAATCACTCTGAAGCTTTTACATTTCAAGAGCATTATAAAAATATTTTAAATAAATATAAAACAAACTAATAGCTGGTTTGTCATTTCACAGAAAAGTCCAGAAACAGAATACTGTATTATTTTCATTTTTCAGGCAATAATGCAAACTATATTGGCAACAAAAGATGTTTAGATGCTCAGAAAAACTAATGTGAATACTGGCTAGGATATTCCTATTGTCTTGCCAAGTCTGACAGCAGATCAATTTTGAACCTGTCTGGAACAGAACCTGCATTTTTCTGCCTTCAAAAAAACTGTCTCTGTAATTACCTCTAAGATTCAGTTTCCACATAATGGCCAAATTGATACAGAATAATTAGCTAGGCTTCTGGAAAGTCATAACTTGTGAATGACATGTGCTGATGCAACCAATATATCATTTCCTGTTCTGCCTGTAAACTTGTAAACAAACAAAAATATTTGGATGTGTTTTCCAAACAGAGAATCCTGGATTATTTGATCCTTTGCAAGCTAGGTTCACAAATTTACCTTCCTTTTAATTTCCAAATCTCTAGAGTGAAGAAAGAGTATCCTTTCCATGACTGAAAAGTCAAAGCAAGGACAGGCTATAATCACATAATATTATAACTACTATAAAAATGTTTCAATAAGCCAGAATTTTGTTTACAATTCTGTTGATATAAAATATTCTGTTACGATTCTGATATATAATAAATGTAGATGTATAGTGTGTCACTATGCACATTTCAGTATTTTAAAATACATTGAATATTAATATTTTACATTTCTTTAACTCTGTGATATAAACTTTTAAGTTTATATTCTTTCATTCTTTATTTGTAGGAGGTTTTTCTAAAAGATGGAAGACTAGAGAGATCAAAATTGGAACTTGAAAAGAAAGATGCAGAAATCCAGCAATTGAAGAGTGTAATCAGTCAGTGGGAGGTACGTATTTTCCTGAGAAGCACATAATTTATTAACCTGAATTAAAACTTAAGTTGAAAACATGGTGGTTGTTAGTGCTTTCAGTGTACTGCTTCTGAAAATATTAAGTGAGGCTGGCACTTACAGGTTAAGGTTGTTCTAAACATTTTTACTTCTTTAGCAGTGAATTTCTATATTGTCTTCTCAGAAGTAAATATAGCTGGATGCACTGGAGTATACTGGGCAAGTGGACAAATGATTATAGCCTAAATGTTATTTTTTTAATAGTTGTTACTAGATTCATTGAATCTACCCAGTCAGTTTTCTATCTCTGTTTTTTCCCATTGTTTTCTCAAATATTTTAGTTAAAGATTAATATTGCAAAGTTAGTGCTAATTGTTTAAAAAATGCAGCATAGAAATCATTTGTTAAATATAAAAGTTGCCACTATATAAAGGTACTATTGGACATGTTGCATTGAAGGCTACCTTAGAAGTAATCCAGCTCCTCCCTAGTAAAGCTATAACCTTATGTAGAGAAGAGAAAATGCAGAATTTCTAGATTTTTTTTCCCGATTAACAGGTTTTCTGTGTAACGCATGTTACATTGCAATCAGTAATAGATATATGTCTTTCTCCTTTTCCTTTCTTCCATTACCACATTTAATTCTAAAGCCTACCCTTGAACTTTTTTTCCTAAATTGAGATTTTTTAAAAAATATGCAGTTATATTTATTTTCTGAAACTCTCATAGATTGCAGAATGAATTTGCAACTTTGAAGTTATAATCCTCAGTGCATTTAACAGTTAGGACTGAACTAACAGCTAATATTCTTAATGTTGAAACAAACTTGGTGAAATATACCACTTGTATTAACTAATTTCTAAAAAAATATTTAGGCAAAATACAAGGAAGTAAAAGCACGAAATGCACAACTATTGAAAATGCTGCAAGAAGGTGAAAGTAAGTACAATTACAGGCTTTAAATTTTTTCAGATACTTTTTTTAAAGAACTGTTACAATCACTAAACTATCTGGAAGCAGTTTAGGTAAATACTGAGAGAAATAGTTTTGTTTAACTTTTACCTTAGAGCGGATATATGCAATCTATGATCTCTTAAACTCAGTGCAGACTACCAACTTTCTCTTTTAGCTTGTCAGGGCTGACATATCTTCTCTACTCCATTTTAGACTAATATTTTCTTTGTTTGACTTTTTAGTGAAAGATAAAGCTGAAATACTCCTTCAGGTTGATGAGTCTCAGAGTATTAAGAATGAGTTAACTTTACAGGTAAATATTTCTGTGTTGTTGTTGTTTTACATACTGTTGTAAATTAGCAAGTCAGAATACTTGAGTTGGAAGAATTCTGAGGGAATTCTGTTCATAGAGTAGGGCCTTCCCACTTAAACTGCAATCAAACAAACACTATTATTGAGGGCCAGGGAGCGTAGGATCCTTAGAAACAACATGTTCTGTGGTGAGGGCAACTATTACTAGAAGGAAAAAATCTGTAAAAATTGAGGGATCCAGTTATACAGACAAAAATCAAGTCCATCAAGTATGAAGACAAACTGCTATTTTTATTACTATTAGCCCTATTTTTAATCTGTTTAGCACTTTTACTGTAGCTTATAATTGTTCACATAAAAATACAATTGTGAATAAACTAGCAGTCAATAAAATGCAGAGACAAAATAGAAATATCAGTAGTAAATTCTAGTAAGAGACACTGAAGGAGTAACTGGTTTTAGATTGAAATTACACTGAAATAACATTTCGACCTGGTGATTAAAGAGAAAAAAATGGAAGAATTAAGCAGATATTCTAGGCCAAATAGTTTTACAGAGTTGATGATTTATTAAAAAGAAATAATTGTCCCGTCCGCACACCTTCACTGGTTTTAATGGAAGATCTAAGTGTATGAATTCAGAGGTGGAAAGTGGTCCTTAAGTATTTAAATCCAAATCCATTCCTGTTTAAAATCAAAAACAGTTCTTTTAGGATAGGCTGGGAAATTGATCAGTAAGAAAAATACAATATTGATTGACTTTGATTTAACTGACCAATTGGAAGGGGAGAGTATGTTATTCCTGAGTTTCATTGGAGAGTATGTTGCTTGCGTGACATGCAAACAACATAAAAAAAAAACAGGAGTTTTGTCCAGCACATCCAAAGTTTCATTTTGTTGGAACAAATTGAAGTTTCACAGTGGTATGACTCTGGTCACTTCTGTTACAACTTTAGTTTCTGAATACTGTATGCTTCAGAGGCAGTCAATATAGAGCATGTTGAACTAATCTAGTTGTTAACATCCTCAGTGTGTAACAGACAAGATACACTTTCCCAAGAATAATGACAGCTATTGCATTAGCTAAAATTGTTTATGACCAGTCTTAACAACAGTAGTTACCTATCTAGAAGCAACACTAAATCCAATCCCTGAGTTGTAAATCTGATTGTTAAATAAATGCTTTTAAATATTTAAAACAATAGTTTCCAATCCTACAGCAAAATACCTTTCAATATTTATGCAACTGAGGAATGCAGCCTCATTCAAAACAGATAGTTTTAATTAGTTCTAAGAAGTTGGCTATTTAATTAATATATTTACTCTGTCCTATCTCAAGTTGCAGTTTGATAACCTAATTTCATTACTATGAACTTCCCTGCCTCAAATTTCAGCTTCCCCTTTTATCCCTGAGAGCTGATGGTGGGAAGAGCTGTATATCATCCACATAGTTCCAGCCTCTGTTCCAAATCTGAACGTATGCAGTGGTTTCTTGTACATTAATAACATATAGAAGAAAATGTACCTCTATGGATTCCCTAAATGGTAAAAAAATACAGTGGTACCTCGGTTCACGAACTTAATTCGTTCCATGACTCTGGTCGCGAACCAAATTGGTCGCAAACTGAATCAAATTTTCCCATAAGGTTCAATGTAAATACGGTTAATCCGTTCTGAATCATATGTA